AAATCTTTTTAATTTCCCTCAGCACAACTTGAAGCCGTTTCCTTTGCTGGTTTCCTGGGAGAAGAGACCAACCACGGCCTGAATACGATCTCTTTTCAGGGATTTGTAGAGTGTGATAATGTCTCCCCTGAGCCTCCACTTCTCCAGACTCAGCAATGCCAGTGCTCTCAGTCACTCCTTGTATGACTTATATTCCAGATCCCTCAAACAGTCCTTCTCTGGACACACTCCAGCACCTCAGTGTCTGCCTTGGAAAAAGGCAACAACACTAACATAAGTACTCAAGGTGCAGCCTCACCAGTGCTTGGTACAGGGGGACAATGTAGTCCAAGGTCAGCCTGTTCCAACCCCCATGCCCTGAGCAGGGACACTTTCCACTGGTTGTCCCAAGCCCCATTCAGTATGGCCTGGAACATGTCCAGGGATAGAGCAGCCACAACTTCTCTGAACAACTGGTTCCAGTGAACAGCCTCACAGGGAAGAATTTCTTCCCCATATCCCATCTAACCCTGTTCTCTAGCAGTGGGAAGACATTCCCCCTTGTCCTGTCACTCCAGGCACTTGTCCCAGTCCCTCTCCAGTTCTCTTGGAGCCCCTTTAGGCACTGGAAGCTGCTTTAAGGTCTCCTCAGAGTCTTCTCTTCCACAGGCTGAAAATCCCTATACACAATACAAAGCATTTTTTTGGGGTAGCAGGAAAAAAAAAAGTGATATGAAGGGCTGCCACTGAACACTGAAAACTGAGCAGATGCACGCTCAGCCGACTTCATGTACGTTCATATCCAAGAAAGCATACCAGTCTAAGACACTTGTGACTAATATTTTATATTGGAGTAAAGAAAGGCTACGTGAGCAAGGAGCAGCCACCAGAAAGTGGCCACACTCCTTGCCACATGAGTAAGCTGAGGAGAGGTGACTGATCAACCCAGCTAAGCTGCAGCACATAGTTTGTTGCAGCCCGATTTCTGCAGCCTAAGAGAGCTCCTTCCACATTTGGCTTGATTCCAAGACTGCTCTGGGAAAGATCAGGAATAAACAGCTCTCTTATCTCTGCAAGGTTTCGGGGGCTGGATATTTTTGCGTGCATGGCAGAATTTCCCTTGCCTTGGATTCATTAAGAGACTTAAATAGCCTTTGAAACATGATACATTGCACCTGCGTATAAGAAGATTCATATTTTTGCTTCTTTTCTCAGAAAAGAGATCTCAATTTTATAATCTGATATTATTTCTCATTTACTCAAACATGCCAGTGATTTTTTCAGGCAGGAGCAACTGAACTACTTCATTAAAAGATGAAAAATGTTTTTTTTCCAAGAAATCTCTGAGAAGGTGAATGTTTACATTTCTTTCCCAGTAGTTTTGTTGTATTGAAAGTTTTACTTGCAGCTTAACAGATCAGCTTCTTTAGACTTTTCTCCAGACTATTTAAAATTGGTTATGAAAGTGTGATGGTGGTATAAAAGCAGAGTTTGGCTGGAGTTAGTGTGCCAGTAAGCCTTGTTTGCAGGAGGCTTAGATACCAATTGCAAAAATCATCTCCTTAATCAGCTTTTCAGCACTTCAAAGAGGCCTCAAACCTCAGGTTTGAGTTTAGTTCCGTGAGTTTGAAATCTGGACATACCTTGAGCAGGCATGCAGATTTACAAACCATTTCTAAATTTCAAAAAGCTAAGAATGTCCAGAGTGTCTTAGAAAAAGTTTCAGGCTTGTTCTGAAGAAGGCTATGAAATCCTTTCAGGAAAGGGCTCTAAAAGGCTTTTGAGTAATCGTGGACTCATTTTCTGAGTGGATTTTCATATGGTTCATCTACAAAGTAATTCCTTTTCCTGCCTGAAAAACACAGTAAGTCTACATAATATGATCCTTCACATTAGAGGGATGACCAATTAGATTATCCTTTCCACCTACCTAGCAGTGTAGGATTGTTTCCTACAGCATACAGAGAACTCCAACACATCTAAGGTGTTGCAACTTAACCATCAGCCTCCATCCTGTTTCCAGCATGCTATGAGCAAGAACCAGACCTTGGGGAGAGGGGGGAGGAAAAGGATTTTCCCTGGATATGCTGCAAAACTGCTCATTTTTTATCACAAAAAATGCATCAATATAAATATTTACATCAAGGAACAGAGGAAGGGGGTGTTAATGGCATATTCCCCCCTCCAAATCCCTTTGGAGGCAGAAAGCTGGAAAATACTGAAGATGCCCAGATCAAAGTCTCCTGAGCTGTGGATATAGGGGACTGTACTATACAGCCCAGGCATGGACTGACCTCTGCACATGGAAAAAGGCCAGAAAGGATATGGGAAGATGGTTGAAGAGAGAGTAGACCAAATAAGGGACCACAACAGAAAAAAACCCCACAACTTTTTTCACTTCTTTGGCATGAATGGCCTTAAAAACTAGACTACTCTGAAACAGTGGGGTCTGCCTCCCAAAAATTTAGATGTGCATAAAGATAAAATGTTCAAATGCCTCCAGGACATGACTCATTAAATAAAAACATGTTTGAACTATTCCCATGTGAGCATTTTTACATCATTCTGAAGCATGAACCACATTTTGCCATGCCCTCACTCTAACAGCATTCCTTTTGTGCTCCTTCTAACTTATCCCTGTAATTAGACATTATCTCTTCAGCCCTGCAGCAGGCTGGAACAGAGACACCACCACATTTAAAATGCATTTAGGCACCCTCTTCATGAGAGAAAAGTTGCAAAGAGAAAAAGGCATCCATGGGAAGAGGAGACTAGGGAAGATCTCCCTTCCCCTGCTCCCCCCAGGAAACATGGATCAATCTTCAAACACACTGTGTGTATTTTTCATTTATTTCCTCTAGTAATTTAGTTCAGGAAAGGAGTTGCTATGGCTTGTATAACACATGCCAATTTTGAAATACCAGGCATCTTCTCAAGAGGCTGCAGATGGACTGTAATGAAAACAAACCCAATCACACACGACCTTAAAACTTGGCCTGAGTGATGCCTGAAGCTCAGCGTGGGACTACTCACCCTCCTCCCCTCCCCTGGCCATCACCATCTTGCACATCTGAGAATGAGGAGTATTTTTTTGACAAGTTCCTTTTGAAAGTCATCCCCTCCCACCTTAATATCTTGGTCTTCTAAATCCTTACTTAATCTAACTTCCTGTGGACCCTTGGCTGGCGGGTTCACAGTCATGGATGTCGTCCATCTCGGGATAAACAGACGCCTGCAATACACATTTTCCTTTCCTCAGAAGGAAAAAAAAAATCATTCAGGACCTTTACATATTTCTCATCCCTAGATGGGATAAAAAGTTGAAATCTGATGTAAAATAAGATTAGATGAAGAAGTCACACCTCCCTGTCCCTTGAAAAGATTTCAGCTCAAGGAAAATGTTTTACTTGGCAAATCTGTAATTAATTCAACTTAGTTTTGACACAACCTGTTCATTTAATGTAATTCTTATAAAATTAATTTCCAAATAATCTTCACCAATTTTTTTCCTTGCAAAACAGAAAGGCACAACAACAAAGAGGTCATTTTCAAGGCACAAGTATGTCAAAATCCATGCAAATCCACAAAATCTTCACTTCCACTAAGATGACATTTTCTTTCAGAAACTTGTTTCAATACATGCTTTTCCCTAGCTATTCTTAGTGACTTATAAACATCTTCACTTGCTAATTAATGCTCCACTGCTGAATTGGTGATAAAGGCCAGTCTGGTATTCCCACCACAGAGCTGTCAGATACGTGCCAATGTAGAGCAGTCCAGACATTGAGGTCAGAGGATACAGGACATTAACTGTCATAAAACACCAGGGGACAAAAAAGACTCACTCAGCTGTCTTATCTACTGATCCAGTTACATGTTGATGCAAAAATCACAGAATCATTTAGGCTGTAAAAGCCCTCTAAAATCATCAAGTCCACAGCACTGCCAAGCCCACCACTAACCCATGTCCTCAGCTGCCACATTCCCACATACATGTATAGTTTATCTTGTCTGCATCTGGATCATTTAATTTCAGCAAAATCTTCTCTCCATTGAACCATAATAATCCAAATACAAGTATGTCCACTGCATTAAAAGGAAGGCATCCCAAAATAGGCCAGGCAGGTACTCCTTGTCACTTGCCTGAGCCTCCACCATGAAGTAACAGAAAGAGCCAAGAAGAATTATGACAACTATCTAAAGAAAGGTAAACCAGCCAGAGAGGTTGAAATCCAGCCATTGCAGCTACCAAACAAAAATCAGGAAAATTCTAGAAACATACACTTTTTTGGTTGTTGATGGTTCAGCTCTAGAGAGATCATATGGGTCTGCACATCTAGAGCTGCTCAGATTATTGAAATGTTGAATTAGCTGGTCTTGGAGGAAATTAAACAGATGGTAGGAAGAGAAAGGCGTGTCTCTGCCTGTGAAAGGCATGTATGCTGCCCAGTGGAGGCAGGACTTGACCATAATGACCTTAAATCCTCAATATTAATGCAATAAAGAAATTCCTCTGCAGAGTCATAAGCAATACAAACACACCTGAACCTTTAATATGCAGTAGAAGAAAAACAAAAATTAAATATCATCTTTGCAGGTTTGGGGTGGTTTTTTTTAAGGCAATCTGAGAATGCTGGTTCTAACTGGGTTAACATTTGCCTACTTAGGGGAGCCTTAGAGTAACAACTCTTCTAATCAGCAGTGACTGTGAGAAATTACTGAGGCTCAGCACAATATAAAGCAGCTGCTTGGTCCTTACAAGTTGCCATGGAGGTAAGCTGCCCAGGGAATTTTGAAATGTATCTTGTGCCTGATTGTGTAATGGAAAACGTGTTAGCAAGCCCTGTCTTAGCCACAGTCATCAGGGTTAGGAATTGGTAAACTATATTGTGTGTTAGAGATGTGCTTTACCTGCATGTACATGTCACCTCCTTGATTGCCCCTTACTCATACCTGTTCCCCTCTTGCCCTTTCCTCTTTGGGGTCAGAGTACAGTGAGTACCCACTGCAGAAGTCCTCACCTGTCCTGGGTCCCATGTGACCCCACTTTTTCATTCTTCATGCAGAAATCAGGTGAGCTCTGCAGGTAAATCAGCTCTGTCTCTTTGACTGGCCTGATGTCAATGTCCTTCGGCACAAGGTATTTGCGTGTGCCCATGGGCCGGTGAACAACCTTGGTGGCAGATAAATATTTGGTTTTGAGGTCCAGTGCAATGTCTCGCAATTCTTGAAGGCCTTTCCAACAGGTCTTGATAGAGCATGACCCAGACACTCCATGGCACTTACATTTCATTTCAAGAGAGGCTTTCAAGACCTGCAAAAAGGAATGCAGAAGTTAGGAAATGACCTCCTCTTACAGCCAAACATCCCACAAGCTTGCTAATGAAAGTACTTCTTAGCAGGAACTGCTATAGGAAAATACTACTGTTCCCATTTCTGCACAGGCAGTCTAGAGTAGCTACTTTGAAAGAGAATGAGATCCTACAGCTCTTTGGTGATCACTGTCAGTCCAGGACTACTTTCACAAGGGCTCCTTTGTGGCCAGAAGACAGAAGAGTATTTTTGATTTTGATTACATATCTATATTGGGCTCCATTTCCACTCTCTAAATTCCTAAGGAGATGACTATCAAAACATTCCATAAATAGATAATTAACATCAATTTCAATCTCCAGCAGCTTTGGGCTTTGGTAAGAGAGATGCCATGGCTTTGTTGAATTCAGTGTACTCTCCCCCTGCCTTTCTGCTGGTCATGGGGCCAAAACAGCCTCTTACTTTGACTCTGTACTATTCTCATTTCAGTGGGACATGGCAGGATGCTGCCAGGAAGGGCTGAATGCACCAGCCATAGCAACGCAATATCCCAAACAAAAATTTGCCCTTTGCAATTGAAACAAAAAGTCAAGACATTACAAAAATAAAATCTAAAAAACCTCAAACCCCAAGCAAACAAACCAAATAGTGTGGGAATAGTAGGAAAAAAAAACAAAACAACAAAGAGCCAGAGAGGGAAACTTCAGCATGGTTGTGCTCTGCAAAGGTAGACTCAGCCTGTAGCTACACAGCAAGCTCCCAATGAGCTCAGCATGCTCCAGGTTTGTCTGCACAGGCAACCCTGGAAAGACCAAGCTGTGCAGGAGGAGCAGCCTATGGAACCACTGGAGCCTCAGAGATGAGTGCAGGGGTCAGTTTTATAGCACCCCCCATCCATTTCTTAAGTTGTATGGAGGGCTGCTATAGGGATTTGCACACCAGGGGCTGCACATGGTAAATATTATCCCTCCACTGGATGCAAGCTGTAGCAAGCAACTTGTGCCAGCTATTATAATAATCACTAGAATAGCAGTTTAAAAAGGAAAAAAAAAAAAAATCCTTCCTGCTTCCTGCAGGGATGGCTGGAGGCAACTGCTGCTGGATGCATCTGGCAGATGATAATCCTGCACATTTACACAGCACTTCACCCCCACAATGCCCTTGGCAGAGCACAATGGGACCCAACCCAACCACCCCTCCTGGGGTAGGCAGAGCCAGAGCCAACACTGACTGCAACAGGTAGCAATGAGACATCCCACCCACGGTTAAACAGGGCTAATAATAGCATTTGGGACACCCTGAGTCACAGGGTGAGTTGTACAGCTACAATTTTCAGCAGGCTAAAGGACTTCAGAGTAATCTTTGAGAAACCTGCTCCTTTCACTAGCTGATAGAGACACTGAACCTCACCAAGTGACCAACACTACAGATGATTGTACAAGTACAATAACTCTTGTGGATTTGTTACCTGTCTCCCTACTTCACTGTTGTGCAGATGCATCAGTTTATTGGCTTGTGATCCTGATTTTTTCATCTTCATGGGAGCATCTGAAAATTTGGACCCCATGATAAGACCATAGTTGAGGTTGTCTGCACATCCTCCCCATCGATACCCAGGTCCAGGTGTCTCACCTGGGATGGGACCACAGGAACAGCCAGGGAGGTCCCCGGTGGTGCAGGCTCTGGCAATGGTGTGGCTGATGGCAGCAGCAGAGAGGGCATATACAAATGCTGACTCCCTTGTGCCTGAAAGAGACAAGAACACCATCTCAGCCTCCTGGGCCAGATAAACGTTCCCAAAAAAAAGACTCACACTGTCTGTGTCCCACAGAGCAGCCAACACACCAACTCACTGCAGCTGAGATGTCCCATGGCACCACTAGCTTGGAGCACATCTAAGTGAACTTTTCAACATAAGACAAAAGCCCAGCAGGACAAGGAGTCACATGGATTTAGGCATCTTGTTCATTGTGGTGTGATTTGCTCTTGAAGCAGGTGGTTAAGCCCACCCGTGGACTCTCCTGCCTCCTTTTGCTCCTGTGCTTGTCCCATGACTCCCAGTGGGATGAGCAGACCAGAATGGTGGTCTGCTTTCTAAGAGCCGTGGTAGACAAGGTGTTGGATCCAAGAGCTTCTGGGCATGACTGGCACTGTAATGATGAATGTGGTCTCAGAGAACAGGACAAGTGGGCTTTGTTGTCCCTCCATGCTCCCAGGAGCAAGACCCTTCCTGTCTCCAGCACACACACACACACACACACAGAGGCTGACTCTACTGACTCCAGTCCCAGCTGAGCCAGCAGTGATGTTTACCTCTCTCTAAGTCCAGCAGGTAGTTAGGGGCCAACTCTATTGAAGAGCAGTTCCACCGCATGTCTGAGAAGGTTTTACGGCAGGTCTTTATCACTTCCCGGGCTGCCTGAATAATGGTCTGCATCAGCTCCAGGTTGCTGCGGCACAGCTGCACCTGAGAAACCACCAGGCCTTCAAGCTGCTTGCAGTGCTGGGTTTGATTCAGGGCCAAAGCCAAAGAAGTCTTGGACAGAGCTCTGAGAAGACAAGCACATGCAGAAAAGCATTAAAACACAGTCTAGACGCCTACGTTCACCTGACTTAATTAAAGCTTTCTGTAAATAGGTGCTTAGATAAAACCGGTGAGAAAGATGAGCAGCTATGAAAAGTGATTTATCCTGTATAAAGTACATGTTTAAGGTAGGTGGGAAGAAACACCCTTTGGCAGTGTGCAATTCTCTCCCTTATTGAGGGAAGTCTGCACAAAGCTCCAGGGTATATGTCAAGTCAACTGCATGTGTAAATCCTATGGGGAAGGTTGTTTGCTGAAAAATGAAGAGCATAGACCTCTCAACAGAGTGAAAAATGACCCATCAGTTCCATGATAATAGAAATCTGGGTCCTCCAAGACTGTGGCATTTGGGAAAAAAAAGCAACGTTGGTGCTTATCAGTATTTTGTATTCAGCATCTGTCTCACACACTCTCAAAGGATTATGCTAAATGTCGTGTAATTAATTATGGAGAAAAACCCCTGCAAGGCCTAGGGGAAAATCATCAAATTTGCAAAACATATGCTTTCACTTAGAGTTAATACCAAGGTCCTCTACTGATTCAATCATTGTTGCAGATAGATAAGTATGTTTCTCTAGTCTCCAAAAACCACAGTGCAAAAGCTCAGTGGGAGTATGTGCAGAGAGAGTACCACAGTCAAATCTCAGAAGGGATCCATGAATACCAGCACATATGTTACCATGGAAGAAAAGAACAACATCCCACAGTGGTGGTTCTTCTACTGTCCAATTGCCAACTTTTCCAGGTTAAAAAAGAACAAAGGCTGACATGCATCTTACACGCCGTACTCTTCTTCCCTGTGCACCCACAAAATCAGCAGAAGCCTAGTGTGTAACTCTCTTTGTATCTTTTTGGCTTTCTTAGGATAGTCATAAAAGTTATGCATTCCCATAAAATAACTTTCTAGCAGGCTGAATAATATGATGGCATCTGATCCTGGCAGCACAACTCTAACACATATTTCCTTCTGTCCTTGTTAAATGTATTGGCTTTCAAATTCATCCCAAGCCATCTTGGTTAGTTTGGCTTATTAGCAAACACATTTTGGGGTGCATTTCACTTTATTGCTGTAATATCCACATTCTTCAGGAGTTAAATGAGATGGAAACAGAACTAAAATTGAGCCCTAACAAAATCTGGAGGTATTTAATCCTTGCTGGGGATGAATAGGCCTGCACTGACAAATTCCCAGGGGACTGGGAGTTTGGCATTTCTGGCACTAGATAAACAACGGCAAACTTGGAAGGGAAACCACCGTTCTGCCAGCTATATAAATATATACTTCATACTTGTATTTAACAGGTCTGTTAAACACACTGCAAGCAGAAGTCATTGCTAGTGAATTTCAGGAGAAAGGAAAAAGTGGTGGACTTGGCAGTGTTAAGTTATTGGTTGGACTCAGTGATCACACACGTCTTTTCCAACCTAAATGATTCTATGATTTAATAATCAGAAATTCTGCCCTGCAGTTCATCTCGTTCCCAAACCTACTGGTGCTCATAAAAGGTTCCTTGTTTGGAGAGGGACCCCTCCAGAAGGCAACTCATCCTGCCTTAGATGTGAACCTGAGCTAGTGGAGAAATAACTTGTTGGTGATATACTGGGTATTCAGGCATCTCAGAGAGATCATGTCCTTGAAGGACATGAGTCTCTGAATAGTATGACTGTCACCTGACTGCAAACCTCTACAGTGTGGACCTCACAGGAGTCCTTCAGGATCCTTTAGCTCATGGAAAGCCATATCTAGGAAGTAGTTAGCCTTTAGTGCTTTTGAGAGCTATAGTAAGATACCATCAAGACTTAAAAGTACTCATTTTCTGTTCCATATAAGAAATCCAGATACCAAGCAGGGACCCAGATATTTGAATGGTATAAACACAGAGCTTGAATGAGATATGACCACTTGACACCAGGTATCTGTGAAAATTTATCCCAGAAATCCTATCAGCAACTCCCAGGAATGAGCTGAAACACAAATCAGGCAAGAGACCAAAGCAGCTCATCAGTAATAGAGTATAAATGATAAAAACTCCAGCATAGCATGTTCCAGCAGGAAGGGAAGCAAGCAAAGTGTGGCAGGAGCGGTGAGATAACTTCACAGCCTGAGCTTCAGGCAAATTAGGAACATTCCAAGTCTCTGAGAGAGGCTGTACTACAAGGCAGCAGATCAGTTTTCTAATCAGACATGTTGAGTGTCACTTGAGAGGCCTTGGAATGTTTTGGCTGACCCTCCAGAAGGATGCATATATCTCCTAGGTCCTACACTACATTTTCTGATCCTTTATAGAGGTCTTCAGCCTCTCTAAAGGGCCTGGAAGGCTACATTGAGGTACCCCTATCTCACTTGTTACAGACAAGTCATGAATAGCATGAATAACTATCTACAGGTAGGGATGTAAGCAGAATTCAGACTGAAACTCATCCTCAGTGTGCAAAAAAAGGATGTGATGCAATGAGACTGCATTATTACAGATGGCTTGAAGTGATCACCATTAGACAAGGAGTTTTATAGTGCAACAAGAAAACAATTTACTTCATGGAAGAGGGAAAATACCTTCTGATAGGTGAGAACTCAGTAAATGGCAAAAATGGCTGTTTGTCATAGAATGAGCTGAGCTCCAGGAAGCCTTCTAAGAATAAAACTGTGAGATGCAGGAAGGTGTTTTTTGAGCATCTCCAGGCCTGAACTTCATGTCTTTGCTTATGAGAACCTATAATTGGAAACATCTCCAAGCATTGGGAGGAAAAATTAAAAGGTAATGGAGATGGAAAAGAAAACTCAGTTACTGTAGTCACTTGCTGAGACTGAAACATCTATAAATCACAGATCAGGAATGTGAGAGGCCTATTAGGTCATCTATTCCATCCCCTGACAACCTAGGTTTGCCCAGTCTCTGTCCCACATTTAGGAATATCTTCTCACTCCATGTCACTCTAAACTGTCCCTGTGGAAATGCACCACCCCTCCCTGCTTTCTAAATTCTGTCAGCATCAGGGGATGGATACCCACTGCCCAACACCATTATTGGGAAAACAATATCTATTTGTGGAAAGAAAAACATCCCACAGTAGAGGCTGGTCCATGGTAAGACTTGGTGGTGGGTCTCTGGCCTGTATTCACACAGTCTCCACTGATCACCAGCACCAGGAGAGAAACTGGAGCCAATGGGGCATTGCCAGCCTTAAAATCCAGCCCTCAAGGGCATAATTAGAAGAACATCCTTCATTCCTCAACCTGGGAAAAAAATCCCTGACAAACATCTTTCTGTGGATGAACACCCTTCATCTGAAAAAGGGATTTTACCTTCTTTCACCCTGGAAATACTGTTTTTCACTGTTTCATCCTGATAACATTCTCACTTAATTCTCCTGCCCCATCCTCCAAACTACAGACAACCAAGGGGTGGTTGTTTCAGGGTTTTAAAAAATACATGTATTTGATCCATCCCTTTAAATAAACAGGGTCTAAACCAAACATCTCCTGATCTATATATAACACAGCAGGTCCTTATATTGAAGTTCTAGATACTGACAGAAAACCATGAACATAATTACAAAGGAAACATGCAAAGATGGACCATGACATTCGTTTACTCTTTTATTATCTCAGGCAGTTATTAAATTCATTTGAAAACATTAATGCTCTGCAGTGTTAGGTCCTTTGAGAGGTATGGGCCCATTCCTACATGTTTGGGACCCATGAGAGGACTATTCATAGAAAATGCAGGTTAAGAAGAAGCACCTTCAGATGTCAGCAGATATCAATGAAAGTCATATATTTGGTTTACAAGGTACCCTGTGAGTATCCTGGTCAAGACAAAGGGAGAAAAACTCCTTCAATTGTGCAGCAAAGCATTGGTGTCCTTTAAAACACCCTTGAAGGGTGGAAGAATCTTCTCCCTGAAGGCATCTCCCCACCCTCCCTTGTGTGACATGATCTGCAAAAGTCTCACAAAGGGACTGATGGTGAAACCGTGAACTTCTACTCCAAATTACCAGCTTTGCTTTCTGAAAAGGCATTATTTTTAATGCCCATTCCTAAACTCCTTAATCTTGCAGGGATATGGGTGACACAAAAAGATTTAGACAAAATTACGTGGCTGTGGAAAGTGAAGTATGTGATAAACATTAATAAAGAGAGGCAGAGATTGAGGGTTCTTTTTGTATTTGATCTCACTGAAGGTTTTTAATCTGCAGAAGCCTCATTTTCTCAGGTTTTCCTCTGGAAAAAGCTTGCAGGGATGTTATAATAACATTGTCTAAGCTTCTTAAGCTTCTGGTAGTCAAAGACAGCCCATGCCCCTGCCACCCGGCCCTGCATCAGTTCTAGTCTGGGAACCACAAGTCCTGAGAAAGACACCATATCCCCTGGTAAATTCTTCCCCTGTTTCTGCAAGTGCTTTTTAAACAGAGAAATAGGATTTACATGATTAAAAAAAAAAATAAAAAAGAAAGAAAGAAAAAAGAAGAGGAAGAGAGACAGAAGTGTATGTGTGGGGAAACCAACTCTGAACTAAAAGCTTAAAATAAGAGCTGTTTTCAGACATGGTGCCAAATGCAGTGCTGGCAGTAGTGGGCACAAGGCTGTTGACTTCATGCCCAAGCTTGAATGAAGTCAATGCCAGCAGTGAGTTGGCTCACTGAGTGCTGAGGAAGGCCATGGAGCTTTGTCAACTTTTCCTGAACTGCCTATGGAGCGAAGAGCAAACTTCAAAGATATGGTACTCCCCTTTTCTCACCCCCAGCCTACTCCCCTCCTGCCATCCCCATCCTGCAGCTCTTTCACAGCAGCTCATCTAGCAGTCCCTTGCCAGGCAGACAGTCTCCTCAGAGGCGCCCGTGTCTCCACGTCCCAGCTCCCTCCCACTACTTTTTGAAGGAGACAAGCAGGAGCTGCCAGAAGCACAAAATCTTTCCATTTTCTCCCCTGCTTTTTGCTGGCTGCAGAAGGGCTGCTCAAGGTTGGTGGGCTGGGGGACATCCTGTGTTCACCAAAAGGTGTGGTTAAGCTACCTTTTGCTTCTGAAGGGCTGCAATTTAACCAAAGGAATTGTGCAGCAGTCACTGGGAATGGAGCTCAGCTGGGGATTGCTCCAGAGCACGTGAGACATAATTGGTCACAATTATGTGACCAATTATGTCCGCACACAATGCGGACAGGCAGAGACTTCCTGAAGTGACCAAGCTCCACCTAAAAATGATGGTATTCCTAATGCCAGCACTTGCCATACTGGGCATATTCTGCAAGCCATGAAAAAAAAAAAAAAACCCAACAAAAAAATACAACAAACCAAACAAAACAAAGAAAAAAATCCAAACAAACAAACAAAAACCAAACCAACCAACCAAACAAACAAAAAACTAGCCCAAACCACTTGCTGTGTTTGGCTTATGTACAACCACATTGAAGGAGACATTCAGTACAGAGAGACAGAGGAAATACCAATCCCTGTGGAGGCAGAGGTGCCTCAGAAGCTACTCCGTGCCTGGACATCCCAACATCTGCACACCTTTGGGGCATGCACATCTGGCTGCAGCTCCCTCTAGTGCTCATCTGTTTTTCAGTTCTACCCAAATAAGTTGCTCCAGCACCTCCTTGGTCAAACCCAAGCTCTCCTGGGAAAGCTATGGGGAAGGTGATAGAATTACTAGATGCATTGGCCCTAAGACATATCTCATGGAAACCAATGGCTGCCTCACCTTCCCAGCCACTGTGACAGAACAACACTGAGCACCACAAAATGATGTAAACTCCCCACATACCTGCTTTGCTGTAAGGATGGGAAAAATAAGATACAAGGTCTCATATACGTTGATGAGAAAGGCTGTATCCCCACAACAATCCTGATCCAGCAAAGATCTGGAACCATACTCTGGAACCATACTCTGAATTTACACATGACCAGCTCTCTAGTGCTTAGATGAAAGAGCACAAGATATGAAATTTTTCCAGCAAGAGAAATGCTTACAAGAGCAAGAGCATGTATACAAGATGCTGACTGTCCACACACCAATGGATGTTTGGTGAGGCCCAGCATCAACTTCAACAGATAGAGATTTGGACCACAGAACTCATAAAAATAAGCCAAGCAAAATAAAATAAATAATTTCTTTTTTTACCTTCGCCCTGCTTTTAATGATTTTCAGGGCATATTTGTGTTACTGAGAAATCCTAAATGGCTGACAATTGTTTTTCTTCTTCCCCTCCCCCTGCAATTACAGCACACACTGAATCAAAATTAAATGTCCTATCACCTTTCATATCAGTCACTCGCTCATCTGCAGGCTGGTGAAACCCACCTCCTTATCTCTCCCCTCTCCTCTAAAATCCTCTTTGAAGTTCGCCTCTGGCACCATGTGTACAAAAATTATGCAGCAGGCAGACTGGTGAGAAAATCCCACAGCTGAAAACATCACATAGCATTTTCTTCCTTCTTCATCCTATTGTTATTCCCCACCTCTCTGTTCACGAGCAAGAGAAGGAAGGAGCAGATTTCAATTATATGGCACCCAGAATCTGAGTCCAGAGCTGGGATAAGCAGGTTTGAGGTATTACTTGGTATTTGGTACTGTGTTTGCCAAGAACTTACCCATGCAGTTTCTAAGGACAGTCCCTGAGCCCCAAGAAAAGAGAGTGATGGGGAGTGGGGAAAATTAGCCTGTGTTTCTGTAGGAAAATAAGGGTGGGTAAATGAGGAGAAACAGCAAATTGAAAAAAAACCAAACATAATTTTGTGAATTTCCAGCTACCATCATCCCAGTTGCAAAGTGCTGTGGACAGAGAGTGCAGGTCTCTGCCAAGTTTTAAACAGGTGTGAGGGGAGCTCAGTGCTGCATCTGCATGCCATTCATGCTTCAAATACCACTTTAATCCTAGCTTTCATCTTTCAAACTCACTTTTTGATAGGGGGGATAATTCTGCTGGGAAGTAGAGGAGCAGCAATTGTGGTGTCTTGCCTCCAGCTGCGTCTCCCCCCACTCATCCCCAAAAACTCCCCCCACTCATCCTCGAAAACAACCCTTGCAGCTTAACCACTTAGCAGCCAAAAGGCTGCTTTTGACAGCAAAGCCATTAGGGGCCTTTCCCTGCCTCCCAGCATTTTTCATGTCTGTGGTTTGTCACCATACTATCAGATTCCTTCTGGAGCTCATCTCCCCTCTGCCCTTCAAAGGAACCCAAGCCCTTCACTCATAATTTAGCATCATGCTTAAGTGGGACACCAATGCCAAGCATATGGACAAATCCCTCCAGTCAGTCAAGGTTCTATACATAAAAGCCCTGATGAATCAGGGTGCCACCAAACAGCTTTATTTCTGTGCTGCAGAGAAATAAATGTTGCAAAGGACATGAGCATCTTGCTAAATGTCCTTCAGAAAGGAGATGCCTGCCTTTCCTGGTGCTGGATATAAGCAGAGCTGAGACCCTAAATACTGCAGGAAGTTGGCAGAAACAAGTGCCTGGGTTATGTAATTGAGATCTTGCTGACTACTACAAGGTGTAAAGCCAAGGCAGTTAAGAGCAAACCAGATCCTTACTCTCCTCTACTTCCAAGAAGGTCCTTAGAGTATGGAGACAGCAGATCAAAGATTATGGAATGGGTTGGAAGAAACCTTGAAAATCATCTAGTCCCTATCTTCCTGCCATAGGCAAGCATGCCACCTTGAAAGATGCCCTAAAGTAGGTGACTATTCCTCCCACTTGACCATGTGCATTTAAACACCCTATGGAGAGATTCACTATGCTTCTCTTTATGGATATAAAAGACAGATGTGTGGCCTCTGGCAGCTCCCTGCAGTATGCAGCATTGCCAGAGGTTCTCACTTGCATTTCTGCTTGATATCTCTGTTTGCAGAAGATGAGTTGCCATCTGGAAGATCCTCTCTTCCCTGACTGCATGATGGAGAGTAAAAACACTGGCTCCAACCAAAAGTGACCTCAAGGCTTTTGCAACATCTTAAATACCGGGGTGTAACAAGGGGAAAGGGACGCCCATTGACCAATGTCAATGGGGATCTGGGGGAGTGGAAGGTGAAAGGATAGACAGATACAAAAAACAATGGGGGAAACTTAAGGGAGGGACCCCTGGCCCTCATCCAATCCCTCGATGCCCAGGGTAGAAGATTCTGGAAGAACAGGGTGGGAAGCCGAGTGATGGACAAGGTACCCGGGAGGGGAGAGAGGAGTCACAAAGCATTTTCAGGAAGATTGGCACTGAGGGATTGGGTGAAAATTGGGGTGGAGGGGCAAATCATTACAGAACTGTTACAGAAATATAAAAACACAATACAACATATATTATTGTGCCTTTTTTACTACCGAAGATGCTCATTTGAGGCAAACCCATATTCCCTTATTTATTTTGTGCCCAGCACCAAACCCTAGTAGAAAAGACAGATCACTTATCAAGGTCATGAAACCAGATTGGCTTTGGAGTGGCCTGTTTGTTTATTTTGCAGCAAGCAACTGATTGCTTGTTTAAGCAAAGAAATGAGATGGTGATGTTTTCACTTTGGAGTACATTACCTCCAAGGAAACTCAACCCTGATATGACGACAGTCCCTGGTATTTCTTTACCCTCCTCCCTCCTCCTCACCTCATTTTTAACACCCTTCACAAAATCCAAAGGTTAAAAGGTCCATGTTATCTGTCAAGCATCCTTTGTGGTTGGAGATGGGCAGCATTATCTCAGCTGCCATCCCCACTGCTCTCAGTTCCTACTCAGCACAACCAGTGGTCCTGGTGGGAGAGTTTCCCAGCACAGCAGGAGCTAATGCTAGAAGCTTCATGAGCCACTTAATGAATGCTCATGGGAGCATGCAAGTGTGTGCCTTTCCCTTGGTATCAATGAGGAGAAAAAAAAAAAAACAAACAAACAAATAAGCCTAAATAATGCATATTTTAGAAAGAAAATGCAGACATTGTTAGCATAAGCCCGTAGTACACACACTTGACATCAATCAGTGCCTGGAGAATTGCAGTGCTTGCTGCTCTTTAAGCAGTTTACAGCATACCTCAAGCAGCAGTTGTACAAACAGGTAAGAGACCAGCAATTCCTACAGAAACATTAAAAATGAAGAGATAGAGCCAGATACTCACATCCATTTTATCCCATAGCAAAGCCCTGTCTGCAGAATCAACAACAGAAAACCAGCTAAGAAAAATCGCAGACTTGGCTTCATTTTCTCCACCTTCTCCTGCCAGCCAAAGGAAATCAGCTTCTCCAAAGAAATATTTTTCTAAAAAAGGAGTTTTCTTAATATTTTGTGCAATGTATTTTCCTTCAGTTTGGGTATGGATTGTTCTTGGAGATAAAGAACCTGAAAAGAGAAAGAGCTACGGTTAACTCTGAAGTTTAGCAAGCCACTGTGACAGAGAAATCGATTATCTAAACTGCAAAGGAGTGGCTTATGAATCATGAAAAGGTTTGGTTTATCCTTTCTCAGTCCCCTCCCTTGCCAAGTTTTGATACAACCTTTGGAGTGAACAGACAGAGAAACCGTATGGGTTGAATTACACAGAGTTATGGTCTGATTGTGTGTTTCCATTTAACCCTGCATATGGCAAGACTTCATTCACTGCTTCACTTTAGTGTTTTTTTTACTTCTCCTCTCCAAAAAGTTTGTGCAACTGCTTAGGAAGAAGAAGAAGAAAAAAGATAGATCTTTATATTAGCTCAAATCTTCAACTATTCATCTCTCCCTTTCCTCTCTCCAGATTTCTTTTTCCTCTCTTTTTCGGCAGAGAAGACAAATAACAAAAACTGCATTTCCCTACTTAATGCAGGTGTCCTTGCCCTGCAGATGTTTCTCTCTGATCTGTCACAATAAATGCGTTTTGCTCTTTACCTCTTGCTTTTCTTCTCACCTCATTAACTCTGCCTCTCACTTCTTCCAAGTCCTTGGCACCTGGAGCTCACGGAAAAGGCTGCAACTTTGTAAACATAAAATCCCATTTTTGTCTCCAGGAAGCAGCAACAAAAGAGCTCTCAAGGATATCCCCACACCCCTTTTCTTTTTGGGTTGGGTTTTTTTTTTTTTTTTCCCTTCTTCAGGCCAAACAGATAAACAAACCAGATGCAGGACTTTAATCCTTAGAGGGGTCCTCTCTGTCTCCAGGGCATGGCTTGCTTATTTTAGCAGCAGTATTAATAACAGTAAGTGGGTTTCCCTTCACATACTCACTTCAGACACTGCTCTGGACTGCTTTTTGTGGTCTTTGCAGTGGTTTCCCATCCCATAAGAAAGACAATAGTAAAATAAACAGAAAAACCTGCCCACCACATTGCATCTCTGGAGTCTCACAACACATTGCATAGCACACTGGCACACGCAAACTATAACTGGGCATTCCCCCATAACACCCCCTCAAAGAGATTTGGGAAGAGACTGGGAATGGTTGGAGCAGTCAGCTTCACTTTGGGAAACCTCTTACCCTGGAAAAAGGGTATCCTACCTCATCCCCAGCTCTGGATTTGCCCAGCTGCAGCTCTCTGCCTAAATATTCTCATTTAGGGACCAAGTGGGTTGGGGGGAATGAATATTTCTGAGTGTTTTCTCTGCCATCTGCAGCGTATTTTTCTATTCAGGCTGCTTTTTGGCTGTCCCAACCCCAGTGCCTGGCATGAAGGGTTACTGGAGAAGTGCTATTATTACAAAGAATTTTAATAACCTCTAGGGGCGAGTTCCTGGCTTCCTTGAAGTCCAAGACAAAACTGACTGCCTACAAGGGAGGCAGGTTTTCATTGCCATGGATTGTTTTTTGTTTTTTTTTAATGCCCACTTGGATTTGGGTTTGATGCATCCCTTGAAGGCAGTGCTCTCATGAGTATCCAGGCATACATGCTTCTTGTTCCAGAGTATTTCTATATCTTTTAATCTTTGGGAGCCCTTTTTTTCCCACTGCTCTACAAGCACACTGGAAACTTTCAACCCTTAATCCTGCCCCTGACTTTCAGTGTCTATTTAGATATTTCAGACCCCTTATCTCACCCCTGTGAACTGCTGGACAACATAAGAGTCGGGTGTAAAATGTCTCAGATGGTCTAAAATGCTCTCACTAAACCTGACCAGCCAACACCATTCACTACTCTCCCCCCCTGCCTTGAAAAAGTCACAGTTTGGGGTTTTTTTCAACCCCAGGAGTGGAAGAGAAATGATCTAATTCCTCCATACCTACCCAAAGAACTGCAGGTTTTGCATGCAATTGCACCCCTTTTATTTGGAGAGGCAATAATGCCTTTTTCCACACAGTCCAACACAGATTACATTTGCAAGAGCAATTTGCAAAGAGACGGGTGGGACACACTTTGGAGCAGATGTGATCTTTACAGCTCTGGTGAGCTCTGGGTCATTGATCAAACCAACAGCAAGTGGCCTGTGGACTCCTAAAAACAGGAGCTGCTTTTAACTCAAAGCTCTCTTTTCTCTTCACCTCGAGGCTGTTTGCAGCCAGCCGCACTCTGGCACACAGAAAACACTCCCATCAGACACTTCCAAGACTCTGGACTCAGGGATAGGAGCAGGCAATTTTAACTGTACATAAAAGTGTGAGTATTCAGCTCACATTTTTCCAGGTTTCCCATCCAGGAAACAAAGACTCTCCTGCCAGCCTGCAACTCTCTCCAAGAGCACAGCAGCCAGGTTTAGGGGTAGCAGATCCCCAGATGACCTGCAGTGAGGAGTGGGAGCAGAGAAAAGGAATAGAGGGTGGTGGAGCTGATTCCAGCAGAAGGGTCTCACCTCTTCCTTGCTGCCTTCTGGATCCTCCTTCTCCCCTGCAGCCCCTGGGTGTCCCCACTAACCTGCAGCCTCCCGGACTACTCTCTCCTCTGCAGTCCTTGCATTGCCCTACGCATTTGCAGTTTCATGTCCCTCCTCTGCCATCAGCCCCTGGGTCTCCAGTCTCCCTTCAAACTCGGGTGTCTCCTCTCCCCTGCAGCTCATCGGGCGCGGGTCTCTCCACCCTCTGGGTCTTCCTCCCCCCTCTGGGTCCTCCCCTCGCTCCTGCACTCACACTTCCCCTTGCCGGGTGTCAGGTCTATTAATTCAGCCTCCGAGTCTCCTCCTTCCCGGTTTCCCCCGGGGTATCCCCTCTTCCTTGCAGACTCTCTGCCCTGCATTCCCTCGGTTCTCCCTGCCTCACGCATCCTCCCGGGTCTCCCTTTTCCTTGCAGTCCTCCGGGTCTCCCTTCTCTCTCGCAGTCTCCAAGCCGCCCCTCTCCCTGCCATGTCCTCGGTTTGCTTTGCAACCTCTAAGAATTCTCTCTCCGTCGAACCCCCCGGCGTCTTCGTACTCCCACGCATCCTCCGGGACGCATCCCCTCTCCTTGGAATTCTGTCCACGCCTCGCAAAGCCCTGTTCTTGGCCAGCCCCGCACCTTCGGCGTTTCGAGGGGCTCCACCGAGCCGCTGTCCCCTTCCCACCTCTGCCGACAGCGGCTCGCACAGCGCTGCGGTCCGCACTTACCTCCGCCCGGCCCAGGCTGCGCGGGGACCGGGGCCGCTCTGGCGGGGCGGCCCCCGGAGCCGCCTTATATGCGGCCCCTCTGCTTTCATATGCGGAGTGATGTCAGCTCGGATTAGCATAACAAAAGGCTCCGCGCCCCGCGGATGCCCCGGCGGGCAGGCCCGGGCCCCGCGGGGCTCCGCGCATCTCCCCTCCCGCAGCGCATCCCGCGGGAGCGGGGCCGGGCGCGGGGGACGGGACTCGGGGGGTGCCGGGGACCCGCAGGGACTCAGCGGTGTTATTCTAATGAGCGCTTAATGATTAACAGCGATTAGCGAACGGCGAGTTCGTGCTTTCGCCGGAACTTGAGCGTTCCCGGAGGCGCTCCGCGCTCGGAGCTCGGTGACGGCTGCCCCGGGAAAGGACAAGGATGTTTGGCACGCTCCTTCAGGGAGGTTTGGTTCTCCTGCGAGGGCAAGGAACCACGGCCCGGGGTAGTCCTGCCTCATGTCGTACCTCAGCACGTCCTGCTGTCAGCCTGCAGCTCCACAGCCTCTTCTCCGATCTGTATCGTCGGCGGAAAGAGCAGATGATGGGGTCTGGTTTTGGCTTTCAGGTCGGGTTCAGGGTTGGAGGCTTGGTGGTTGTCTGCTAACGAAAGAGAAAGGAAAAGGAAAAGGAAAAGGAAAAGGAAAAGGAAGAGGGGATAGGGGAAGGGGAAGGGGAAGGGAAGGGAAGGGAAGGGAAGGGAAGGGAAGGGAAGGGAAGGAGAAAGGAAGGGAAGGAGAAAGGAAAAGAAAGGAAGGGAAGGAGAAGGAAAGGAGAAGGAAAGGAGAAGGAAAGGAAAGGAAAGGAAAGGAAAGGAAAGGAAAGGAAAGGAAAGGAAAGGAAAGGAAAGGAAAGGAAAGGAAAGGAAAGGAAAGGAAAGGA